CTCGAAAACTTGAATGCCCGAGCTCTTTGGCTCTGGGCTCAATTGACTTGCGATTGCAAACAACGGTTAGAACATCGATGCCAAGAAGATTTTTTCGTTCGTGGTCATTTTCGGCCGTGCAAATTTAAGCGTAAGCGGGAACTCGCTGGCGTTTTCAAAGACATCCTTCACATTTCGACCGTCATCAAGGGTGCTTCCATTGACTGCCACTCCATTCACTGATGTTAGCACATACCCAACAGGAAATGTTCATTTCAATGAACAACTAGGAATATGATTGAGTCATACCTTTAGTGCAAAATCATTTATTGCCCTCCTTAACGCGAACGCCATCTATTCGGTGAGAACATGAAAACAAACAAAGTGACTCCAGCTGCCAACCGATATGTGAATCGGTGGAAATAAAGGCAGTGTATAAAAAATGTGCCAAACAAAACGAACTACAGCGTTTCCTCTACATAGAGATGTTGTTGCATTATAACTCTGTATGGATCAATTTGTTTGTTTTCATGTTCAAACCGAACAGATGGCGCTCGCGTTGGGTCTCATTGGAAACCCAATCATGGATATAATCATTGCATTATGGATGATACTCACCATGTTTACCATGTGGCGTTCGATTTGTGTTAAAATATATCCAATGGAAGCAGAAATTGAATCAAAAGATGTCTTAACTAATATGAAATGATTTCTTTATTGAAAAATCCTTATAATATAACAACAAAAATCAGAAGAAAAGTTATGAAAGTGTCGATTAGAAATGCACGTATGCATAGTCATTATTGTATTATTAAAATATTTTGCTTAAATATCTCATGTCGCAATGTAAGAGAAAGAAGTAATAAAATTAACTAACGAAAAGCTGTTCAACAGTTTTTAATAAAATCCGGCATAACCTGCTCCTATGATGCTATCCAAAATTGCTGGATTTCGCAGTGAATAAGATTCTATGCGTTTTATTTCTACAGTATCGTTAGTAAAGAATGTTGCTGGCCGTTTCATTTTCAAAAATAAATGCCGGTGAACATATATTTTGAGCGGAGTTGCATTAGAGAGTTTATTCCTTTCCCTGATGAGTGTGGTCACATTTAAATTGTTGGGATTTTCTTGTGGGTACAAGTATTGTTCGTAGAGAACGAAGATATAAATCATGGTTAGTTTTGGTGAATACCGAACAAACGGCAATATGACCTCAATATTTTCCGAATGGATGAAAATTTCATTGAGATTTACAAGTCCTTTGGCTAGTATTTCAGCATGCGTTGGACGTTTCAACTTTTTTATCAGAAGTGTTTCTGTATGAACCAGTGTGGACAAAATGGAAATTGATTGGTCACATAAGTATTCCTTCCATGACTGGTCGTACTCAATATACATTTTCTCCGGTATCATATAAACTTTATGAAGGTTTTTCAATGATTGCAGCATATGTGGAGCTGATAATAAAACTTGTTTATTACCAATTATTAACTGCAATTTTTCGTAGTTATTTTTATCTTTAAGCGCACTCAATATTTCACAATTCTCATTCAACAACATTTTCGCTTCTTCGCAATCAAATATAGCAGGAAACAACCTCAGGGCCAATTCTTTCACCTTCAAATCATGATTTTGGATCAGAGGAATTAAATTCCTGCACTGTTTGCCCTGTTCAAAATAGAAAAGTACTTCCAAGCTGGTATTATTTTCAATAAATCTTTGCAAATCCACCCACAATTTTTCGCTTGCTTCAGGTGAAATTTTGATGAGAAACTGTCGAAGAGTCGGGTATGTTTGATTAAACAACGGTAACGTATTCGAAAAACCATCTGTTCCGTTCCTATTGATGATTAAGTTTTCCAAATGTAAACAATGTTTAAGAAAGATGTCATGCAAATTATCTGCGTCAATAACATTGGTTTGCAATGTTACGACATTTTTCAATATATCTTTGATGATTTCGCCATATTGTATCCCATAGGATACTCTTAAACCATAAGCCTTCCATTCTTCTATATTGACTGAGAAATCATTTAGATACAAATGTTTTATGGATTTGTTTTGAAACAACATTGCAGCGTGACGAAACAGTCTGATGTTACCTCCCTCAAGTTGGACCGTCTTGAAATGTCTTTTGAATTGTTTAACGTATGGGAATTGTTCTTCATCTGGTTTATACTTAATATGTTCTCCATAATTTGGCCTAGTGATGGTCAATTTTAATAGCTGGTATTCTCGTTCGAAGTAAACGCCCGAAACTGTTTGTAATCTCTTGCATGTCATATTTACACAGGTTAACTCTTCCAAAGACAACCAATCAAATATTTTGTATAAGCAATCATCATTCAACGTTAGAAAATCCGTTGATGGTATTATTTCTTGGTTTTCTCGAACTGGGCGAAAACTTGACATCCTTTTTCTTTTATTCATTTTGATGTAAATTCAATTTCTCGAGCTGCTAAAAGAACCAAAAATAAAGAAATATGTACACTGTATAGTAAAGTTTACACTTAAAATTAATATTACTTGCTTACAGAAAACTTATAGCGAACAGAATTTATTTCACAACACGGCTAGCGCCCAAATTACGGAGAAATGAATAAATATTCAAACATGTCATTTACAAGCAATACCTTTTTATATTGTGACATTTAAGCTATGGGAAGTGATGGTTTCCAGTTCGCCGCAAAAGTCAACGCTTTAATATTGGAAACATTCATATGCTATAACATAGCTTAAATACAATTATTTTTACTGATTGATTATCAAATTATTTACTATTTTGCCAATTCCAAACGTTTGACATAAAAATTAATTTCAATTTGATTTTGCTTGAATTTGTTTGTGTACAGCATTACCTTAAACTGTCCGTTATCATTTGTCACTGAATTCGCCATTTTTACACTGACTCAAAGCGAAATGCATTTTTGACGTTTCGTCTTCGAATTAGCAGACAATTTCTAGTTCCATTGGCTGCAGAAGAAACATATAGTTGTTTACGTGAACAGATCAGCCTCTAGACGTATTTAGTTTATAGGTTTTGTTCTTTGATACATAGTTATCATGGTTATTTACGGTGTTTACATAGTCAGCAAATCCGGAGGTTTAATCTTCAATCATGACCATAACATTCCACGAGTCGAAATTGAAAAAGTATTTAACTATCCAATTGACTTGAAACTGGATTACGATGCAAAGAAAGTATCGGTGGCGTTTGGACAGAAAGATGGTATAAATGGTGAGCATCATTCGCAATAAATTATATCGATGTTCGGGTTTTCAGTGAGATTGTTATGAAATTGCTGTCAAAAGGATTGCCACGACAGAGAGAATTACACTTCAACTCAATCATATTTCCATTTGTTCATTGAAATAAACAGTTCGTGTTTGCTTTTTCAGTCGGGCATGTGCTAATATCAGTGAATGGATGCGCAGTCAATGGAAGCACCCTTGATGATGGTCGAAATGTGAAGGATGTCTTTGAAAACGCCAGCGAGTTCCCGCTTACGCTTAAATTTGCACGGCCGAAAATGACCACGAACGAAAAAATCTTCTTGGCATCGATGTTCTATCCGTTGTTTGCAATCGCAAGTCAATTGAGCCCAGAGCCAAAGAGCTCGGGCATTCAAGTTCTCGAGGCGGACACATTCAAATTGCAATGTTTTCAAACGTTGACAGGT